AACTCGGGAGCATATTGGATGATACATTGGTTACTACTAGCAATGGAAATCATCTTACCAACTTATTAGTTGTTCCTTCCCTAAAACTAGAAGCAGAGGCAAGACCAAATTGGATCGCTCTCTAGCCACCTGATACTATGTATTTCAGCACTGTTTGGCTTTTTATTTTAGTATCTAATATATTTTCTGTTTTTTCTAGTTTTAAAATCTTTTTGTGGTTTTTGTGTGGACAGGGTGTCATGCTTGGGCCCTCCCACACATTGTATCTGTATCTTTTTTTATATTTAATATATTAGCCTTTTTGGGATTTCAAATATATATATATATATATATATATATAGCCTTTTTGGGATTTCAAATATATATATATATATAGATATATATATATATATATATATATATAGGAAGGGGAAAGGGCAAATCTAGTCTTCATGATTAATCTCGTGTTGGAATGTGAGGGGCATTGCTCATCCTAAATCCCTTCACGGACTTCTACATTTGATAAGGATGTATAAGCTTTGGTGTTTTGCTCCTTTAGAACCTATGTTTACCAAGAATGCAAACAAAGTATTCCAAAAATTTCATGGGTTCCAACATTTTGCTAATATCAATAATAAGATATGGATTCTTTGTAGAAAAGAGGTTTTCTGGCCTGTCCTGGTGGACCATCCACAATTTGTTCACCTGCAGCTCAATATTGGAGAATTTGAGGGTTTTGCTACAGTTGGGTATGCTGGCTGCACTTCTGCCCAATCTATTTTGAGGGACCAAATTGTTACTATTAGTAGTTCTATGATTGGCAATTGATCAAGATGCAGGTCTTCATGATCTGGGTTTCCAAGGGAACAAATATACCTGGAGAATGGGCAAGCTTTGGGAGAGGCTTGGCAGATTCCTTGCTAATGATTGTTGGCTGAACAAGCTTCCCCATACTTTTGTTACTCATCTATTACCATAGGCCTTTATTGATTACCATTAATAGCTCCTCCAACATTGGTTTTTCCAATTTCAGATTTCTAAATGTTTGGACTAATCACCCAAATTTTATAGAAGAGGTCAGAAGGGCCTGGCAATCTGATTCTCATGGCAATTCTTGGAACAAATTATGGGAACTTCAGAAAAAGCTTGGTGGGCATTTGAAGCAGTGGAATTAGCAACAATTTGGTGATGTCTTTAAGAGAGTCAATGAAGCTGAGGAGGAGGTAAAGAGGTTAAAAAAGAAGTTAGATTTGAGCCTGATGGATGAAGGATCTTTACTTACTGCCAATGAAGAGCTTCTTTCAGCAATTTTGAATCAAGAGGGCTTTCTGAAACAAAAAGCTGCCTTACAAAGGTTTGTGAAAGGGGATCAAAACACCAGCTACTATCATGCATGCATTAATCATAGGAGGAGATGTAATGCAATTTTTTAAATTCAAAATGCCCAAGGGGAGTGGCTACATAATAATAATGACATAGTCAACAACGCTGTTAACTTCTTCAAGGACCTGTTAGCTCAGCCTATGACTGATAGAACTCATATTTGTGATGATGTCTTCAGCCAAGACCAGGAGTTTACCAGAAATTTGAATCTCAATCTACCTCCTGAGGAAGAAGAATTTTGGAAAGCCCTGAACTCCATTGATAGTAATAGTGCTGCTGGTCCAGATGGGTTTACATTTGAATTTTATAAAAAGGCCTGGCCAATCATAAAACAAGATGTAATTCATGCCGTCCAAGACTTCTTTTAAGGGGTTGGATCCCCTTAACTATTTATGTGCTGCTACCATGGTTCTGACACCCAAAGATAACTCTAGAAGGAACTGGGACAACTACAGACTCATCAGCCTAACTAATGTTATTAGTAAGATAATTAGCAAATCTTAATGTATAGATTACAGCTTATGCTGCCTGATTTGATCTGTGATAATCAATCTGCTTTGGTTCAAAGCAGGAACATTGTTGATAATGCTCTTTTAGCCCAAAAACTCATACAAGACCTGGATAAACCTTGCGGGGGAGGCAATGTGGTATTTAAACTAGATTTAAAAACAGCTTATGATTCTATCATTTGGGATTTTATTGTGGAACTGCTGAGGGCTAGAGGCTTTCCTGAGGTGTCTGTTAGGTTGATCATGAGATGTGCTGAATAATAATATGAATTCAGTCCTCATTAATGGTCAAACTCATGGTTTCTTCAAAGCTTCTAAGGGGTTGAAACAGGGAGATCCCCTTTCCCCTACAATTTTCATCCTTACCTTTGATTATCTATCCAGATTGTTAAATCTGAAGTTTTCTAACAGCTCTCATATGTTTTACAGTCATAGATCTTCTTTAAATATTTCTCACCTGGCATATGCTGATGATGCTATCATCTTTTCCAGGGCTACAAAACCAGTTGTTAGAAACCTCTTCAATTGCCTGACTGAATTTCAGATCACTTCAGGATTGAGCTTTAATTTGCATAACTGCCTTATTGTTTTCAGTAAAAGAGTAAAAATTTGTATCCGACAATGGATTGCTGAGTTTACAGGCTTCTGTATCAGTTCTCTTCCTTCGAAATATTTAGGTGTGCAACTTGTTAAGGGGAGAGCCAAATAAACTCAATATGATGCTATCATAGATAAGATTAATGGTCAAATCAATTGTTGGACTTCTTCCTTTCTCTCTAATGGAGGAAGAATCACTTTACTCAGAAGTATTTTAACTTCTTTCCCATCTTATCTCATGAAAATGACAGTTATGAAGAAAAGCACTCAGTTGCTTTTAGAAAGGAGCTTTAACAGGTTCTTGTGGACTGGCCAGAGGAAACAAATGCACTGGGTATGTTGGCATAAGGCTTGTAAGCCTATTTTTGCAGGTGGTCTGGGTTTTAAAGGCTTAAATCATCTCAGCCAGGTCAATTTCTGAAAGTTATGGATCAAATTCAAGCAGCAAGACTCCCTATGGGCTAGATACTTGAAAGGAGAGTACTGTAGAGATGTTCACCCCATCCTTTTTAACAGGAAGGTGGGTGATTCCAAAATCTGGGTGAACATGTTGAAGTCAAATCTCAAGCAGAGGAGATGTTTACTGGGGAATTAGGGAATGGGCAGATTAATTTTTGGATGGACAACTGGTCTTTGGAGGGAAAGCTGAGTCACAGGGTCCCTTCTATTTCTAATCTACAACGCAAAGTGGATGATTGTTGGAGCAACAATTCTTTGTGTGGAGACACATTAGCTTCTATGATGAATCCAACACTCACTTCTCAGATCAAGAGAATCCCATTTGATAACAATTAAAGGATAAGATCAAAGTTAAAAAGGTTGTTTCTGAAAGTAGTACTTCTTTCATTTATCAATCTAATCATAGCTGGGGAAGTATTACTTGGGGTAAATCAATTTGGAATAAGTTCTTAACTCCATCAATATTATTTTTCTGCTGGAGGTTATTTCATAAGCTTCTTCCCACTAATGATATCCTCCAACTTAAAGGACTTAGAGGCCCCTCGAGGTGTGCCATATGTATGTTGGAGGAAGAAACATTGACTCATTTGTTTTTAACTGTTCCTTTGCACAAAGGGTGTGGCATTCTGTCGTGGCAAAGCTCTCCATATCCACCATTAATCTCAGTTGGCAGTCACTTTTGAATTGTTGGTCTGGTTGGTCGGATGCCAACATCTCTACCATCCCAGGAGTTATTGCTTGGTTCCTCTGGATGTCCAGGAATAAGTTTAAATTTGAGGAAACTCTTTTGACCCCACATCAGGTTTCTGGATACTGCATGGGTTTCTTATTGCAATTGATTAACCTGATAGGTTTTCCAAATATTTTTTACCAGCTGGGGACTATGAGGAAACAGTATTTTGGTATTGTCTCCACTGTTCTATGGAAAAAAACCTGCTTTTCCTCGGATTAAAATCAACACAGATGGTAGTTTTTCTCAGGGTGAAGCAGGTATGGGTGGTGTGTTTAGAGACCATCTGGGGCACTGTCTACTGCACTACTTCTCACCTATTATGGCAATGGATGCTTTGGAAGCTGAGGCTATTGTTGTATAGTGGGCTATTAAGCTCTCCCTTGTGAGTAAGTTGAGCTTCATTATGATTGAATCTGACTCAATTATTGATTCAGATGTTACAAGACCAAATTGATTCACCTTGGCATACTTCTCATTGGATTCACAAGATCAAGCAGTTGGCTAGATTAATCTCCATATTTTTTGCTTTCATTCCAAGGGAGGGGAATAGACCTGCTAACTGTTAGCTAAATTGGGTAGAATGAATGATGTAATCTGTATTAAAGGAACTTCTTCCCCCTCCCTCTCTTTACTTCTGTTAGGGGATAAGTTAGGTATCCCCTATATTAGAACTGGAAATGCTTTTTAGTAATGAATTTGCTACCATGTATATACCTAATGTTGTGGGTATATATATATACAGGTAGTTTTTGTTAAGAAAAATATATAATTATATATATATATTTGCCAAAAAAGGGGGTTTCTATTTATATATATATATATATATAGGACTATAACTTAATATTTATATAAATCTATTTTCTTAAAAAAAATAAATTATATATTTAAATTTAAGGAGATAATTACAATTTTTGAAAGAGATTAAGTAAAAAAAATTATTAAATTAAAAATATAATTATTATTATTATTTAGCATTTAACTTTCTGGGGGCAAAAGTTTTATTGAATTATATGATATTAAAAAGTCAGTAAAAATCTAGGAACATAATAAACATGCTTGAATACCTCCATCCATCAACCATCACATAAATTATTCCACAGTCAAGTCTTCAAGTAATCAAAGTTTAAGTCTTTAAGCAATCTACCATGACAATTTTTTCCTCGATCATAAATATCATATAAACCTCTCTCCATAGCCCAATTAATAAAATCATAATCCACGATATACTATTGCTCGAAAAAAAATATACGGAGCATTCACTGATCATCTAGCCATCCACAAGCATGTAGCCAAACTATAGGAAACTGAAAAGTAGAGAATGAAATATTAGAAATTTATACCCGAGGAGATCAATCAACGTAGGAGGCGGTGGAAGAAGAACATCGGTTAGATCATTTAGGCATTGGTAAAAATAAGGTTGTCCAGCTTGTTTTGGTGGATGAGATTGGCGATGCACCCAGTTTCCAGATATCAAGCAACGTTGTACCAATTATAACAGCAGATGCTAATTTAAAGATCAGAGAGGGTTGGCTGCACCTCCAGAAGTTGTGCTCAGTTGAGGCATTTTTTGGCCGGTGACTGAGCGGAACTAGCACGAAATCCATTGGCGAGGGGGAAGTTTATGGGATCAGCTCGGCGAGAAAGGAGGGTCTTGCGCTACGACACTCGGCGCGGTCACAAATGGGATGCACCCAAAGCGCGGTGCGGCGAGTTGAACGTTAGGAATTAGGAGGTGGGCACAAGATGGGATATCACGCTTTTCTTCGAAATCAAAAGGGGAAAAAAAGCTACAAAAAATATTATGTTAAATTTTAAATTTTAATTTTGCATAAAAAATAAGGGCATTTACATCCCAATTTGATAAGGTGAGGAGAAATGCAACCACTAGTAATTTTATATAAGCTAGATATTGAAAATACAACAAACTAGAAGCAAATAACAATGGGAAATAATTATTCAATTAAAAATATTTTTTTTGGTTATTATTACCTATAAGAGCAAGTCTTTATAATTAATTACATCTCAAGTGACCGAAGTCACTTAAGAAAACTCTTGATTAAGATCAGAGGTTTAGTCTTCAAGAATTTAAAATTAAGTTTTCACGATTGGTCATAGGAAAATCAAGTGAGAATGGCTCAAGAGAGAACATCTATTTTGGAGACCAAATGAGCAAAAGATAGGGGGTTTTACAGACTCTAAGGGGAATATCGATGACTTCCCAAGCTATCATATTATTTGTCTTTACATATTGGAACTGAAGTTGTTTGATGTTTACTCTTATCATTTATTTAGAATTAGGGCTTACATTTTCATAACATATGACAAATAGCCAAGAAAGATGGGAGGGTTTATGTCGTACCGAACGAACAACCTCTGAATCTTAAATGAGTTAGGGTTTATATAGCACAGCACAATTGTACAAAGACCTAAAGATAAAGTGAGGATTTAAGCTGTGTTAGACGAACAACCTCAAAATTCTAAGATTGTATGTTGTTTAGAGCTAAGGAAAGGTTTTACTGAAGTAAATCTGCTTCATTACTGAGTTTTGATCGTCGTTTAAAGTTGTCCTCGATCCACCTATAGCTTGTTCTGAACTCTTTGTTGTGATGGTTTCTGGTTCAAGGTTTGTGCTTGAGATTGTGATTAATGTTGGATCTCAGGGCTTGTCGTAGGGTTCCTCTTAAACAGGTATGATATTATTCTTTACCCTAGGGGTCTTTGTAGGTATATTAAAATATGCATAAATAAAATATGTCGTAAGATACAGTAAAAGGAAAAGGCAGTATAAGAAAAGTGGTTATGTGTACTTATCGTCTTTGATGCCATTGGTGAAATGTTAGCATTATAAACATAACATGCAAATATACATACATTAAACAAAACTTGAGGAAACATAAACATTTAGAACAAGTTAGATGGCACATATAGGAGATCAAAGTTGGGTGTAAGAGTTTAAGTTTAGGGTGGACTCAGAATCAGGACCGAAGCCCTAACAATTTCTTGAGGGACATCTGTCAGCAACCATTAGCATCATGTATATGAGACCCAACATAAGGTAAAAGGCTACCAACAAGAAAATCAAGGGAAGGTAACCCTCAGCTCTGTCTATGTGACTAACTCATGAACTTGCCAAAAAAAATTAACTCTAAGAAATTCTTAATTTCTCATACATATAAATAATTTATTCTTTTCTTTTAGGAGAAAACATATAAATGTTATCAAAAAAATATGTTATATTATATGTGCACGCATTAGACAATTCATGAGTCAGTCACACGTTGGGCTAGAACCATCAGCAGCCCATGAGAGCAAGGGAAACCCTTTTACCAAATGTTGGTGAATAATGGTATCAATCCTGCACCCTCACGAGGTCATCAGGTTTAGGAGATACAATACTCTTCCACTATCCTGTATACTTAAATGTTTTTTTATCATTGTCTTTGCCACCAAAACCTCCAACTTACACCAACCTCGATGATCCATATGTGGCCATTTATAATATCTCAATTACTATAAGGGTTTGAGTGTAATATTCAAACTCACACCCCCGGAGCATTGAGTATTATTGTAGCTTAAGTTGTAATGAGATAATTCTCGTTCGTATGTTTTAAGTTGAAGGGTCCCGAATCATATATTTTTGGAGTATTTATGTTTTGAGGATGATTTTTCTCAATAAATTATAATAAGCTCAATTGTCCCAAAATCTTGTAAAAGGTATTTAGAGAGTAACTGTGAGCAACTGTAGAATTTCTCGGACTATTTCAAGTTCATTTGGCCTTATTATATTGTTGAGTTAATCGACCCATGTTAAGTTAGGAGTTATATTATTATACTTTAAACTGTGCTCTGCGTAATATTGTTGATGTCTTAGTTAGCCTATGAGTGAGGCAAATGGTCAATCCTTAATTTCATATTAAGAGTTATGCAAGTAAGCGCCCCTAAGGGCACGCTTATAGAAATTAGGGAATTTTACACTCTCTCCTCTCAATTGAGCTTGGGCCTGTAGTGTTTTAAGATATTTCATTATCACTTATATTTCTTTCTTTAACTATTCCTCAAATGATATTAAATTAAACCTAACTCACTACTAAGCTCTTAAGACTTCAAGGGTAAACTTGTAATCTTTTGAAAAGTTTTGTAAAGTGTGCTTAATCTTTATTGAAAGGATTGGATTTGGTTTAATCATTGGTTGAGGATTCAAATCAGTGACTTGTTGATCTTTCAACTCATATCCCCACTCTTGAATCACCAAAATTCTCATTTCTTCCTATGCATAACAATTCAAAAAATTATAATTTTACCCATTTTAGATAATGTCATGAATGGGTTAATACCTTATTTACCCTTTGTTTTTAAATCATTTCAGTAGATGAATCATCACAATTCAACGCCCCTTCTCTTAGGTTTAACCTAAGAAATTAATTAAAGCAGGGTTAGAGTATAAAGTTCTTAAATTACTATTATGCCCCTAAGGTTTGCACTCCCATAACTCTTATATTTTAATTCAAATGATCATAAACTTCTTTGACATCTTACTCATGGACTATTTAAAACAAGAGAGGAGAAACTATATATTTTTTTATATTTATTATTTTCTGTAATCATTTACACCCATAATTATAGATTTTTAATGGTAATTGATTTAATCCCTCATAACATATCCTCAGTTCTTAGAAAACTTTTATAATATTCAGGACCATTTTCATAACTTTTTAAATTATATTTTATTTTATATAATTTTTAATTGATTTTGATGTCAAAATAAGTAGAGAAATACATTTTTAATTTTTAAATCAATTTTTATTTTTCTTTAATCCCCATGATCTCACTGAACCCACTAAACTTGATTTCATATTTTTCTAACTTATCTTTTTTTATATAATTATTTTAATTAAGCATAAGTGAATCCCATAGAAAATTAAGGTTTTTATGGCTAGAGGTAATTTATAAACCTTGAAAAAATCAGATAACATGTCTAATCACATGGATAATAAGCCCTAAAAAGTTCATGCCATGGTAATTAATATTAGTTATTTATGATTAAAATAGTCTCTAAAATATTCAAATAATTTAAAATTGAATGTAAGATAATTATTTTTAATTTTGGATTCATTAAACGCTCCTCTATCAGTGAGAACATTGGTATTTTTATTTTATTTTTGGAATTTTTCTACACCAAGATGTGACTTTTTCAAAGTTATATTTAATTTTTTAAAATTAAATAATTCAAAAAATTTCGATATATCTACTTTACCACAAGGCATCTGATTCATTCTCGGCGTCTTCGAAAGACCACACGTTGTTCCGCGGTTGCTTGCGCTTTCCACGTGGGCTGCCCCGTCAACCCATGGTATGGGGTCTTTAAACAAACCTTTGCATGCCATCCATTTTAAATACTTGAAAATGAATGATATCCATTTATCGTCCTCAATGATTCATAACCCAAGAACCATCCACATTTTAGAGCTAAGATCTCCCTCGATACTTTACCAAATTAAGTGTGATTTGTTCTTATAGCTTTATCTAAGTGAGACAAACACATTTATACACCTAAGTGGACATGAATTGTTCATTCTCTTCACAAAAACCAAAACTGAGACAATATTTGGGACTTTGAGCTCATGCCTTTGCCCAAGAGGTGAGGCCTCGATTGGGTTGGTTGAGGAGGTTCACCTTGGTAGCTCCTTCAAGTCTTAGTTTCCTTTGTAGTTGGGTTTATATATAAAATAGACCAAATGATGGATCAGGTTTGGTCTAGCACTAGGTTAGAGGCCATGAGAAAGGACGATTTTGATTGTAGGAGTGATTTTGCAGTATGTGGAAGCTCTTAGAAGGCTCAATTTGGATTTTTATGGAGTTTGGTGAGATGACCAAAAAAGCCTTGGATTTCAGTTGGAAAATTAGGGTTTTGAGGTGGGGGAGAGTGGCTAAAAATAATGGGGTTGACTTCGTATGAATGTAGGAGTGGTTTGGAGATAATTTGGCAGAGCTTTGCCAAGGTCAAGCACTTCTTGCATTGTAGCCTTGAGGGGTGCCCGATTTATAAGCTCGACCATGGAGCTTAATTGGCCAAGGTCAGAGGTCTAAGGTGGCGCCAAGTTGGAGCTAAGGTGTAGGCAAAAATCCAATGTGGGCGAGCTACATTGGATGAGCTCAATTTTGGGTTCCCCCCACCCCTTTGGTGGTTCTTGCCCTCGAGCTTACCTTTGATTATGGTGGTCAGTCAGGCCATGGGTGGTCACCATCTGGTTGTGGGAGGTCAGGGGTAGAGATAGGTTAAGTCAAATGTGTGGTCCATGTGTCCAATAATTGGATTGAAATGGAATGGGGTTTGGCTCACTTTTGGGTTTGACTTGGGTTAGGTTCATGAGAATAAGCTTGGGTGACTCCCCATGGTGGCTTGACCTGGTGGTAATCATTTGGGATTGGGTGGTCAAGTCACCATCATAGAGATTAGGGCTTAATTATAGGCTAGAGTGAAGCATGGGTATGGTTAAGTGATTTTTTGGAGATCTTAAGAATTTTCTTCCTTACTCGATTTGACTTCAAATTGCACCATTTTTACTGTATTTTCTCCAAAATTCCATCTATTATACTTGGAACAAAAAACATAAAAAATATCTTCCTTCAATGTGCAATAACATTAAAAATGAGCTTAAAATGTATATGAAAAAGTAGGTAATTTTTAGGCGTGTCATCTACCAATGAGATGTCAATATCAATTGA